AACTTTTTCTCTTTTTGAAATTCTTTGCTGAAACCTGTTTATAAAAGTATTAATAGATAATTTAAGTTTCTATTATGAATATTAATGCGTTATGCAAAAAATAATTTACCTTTCCCATTCTGTATCATCATCATCAATAGACACATCTTTTTTCTCATGGCTGTCTTCATCATCACTTCTGTCACTATCAACATCACTATCACTGACATCAGATAATTTATCTTTGGAAGACTCTTTTTCTATTTTATTTTCTTTCTTTTTTGCATTAGGCATATTTGTTTGTTGAGCATTATTGCCAGACTGAGATTGTGCTTTTTGAGTATTTTTCACAGCAGTAAATTTTTTACTAGTGCCTTTTTTATGGGATTTCTTTTGACCCTTCTTTTGTCTCAGCCACGCTGGCTTTTTTACAGATTGGTTTTGTTCTTCTACTACTTCCTCGGGAGCTTCAGTGCCTATTTTACTGTCATCAATCATCATTTGTTCTTTGACAGAATCATCTCCAAATAAATTTTTCATATCTTTGCGAGTTAATGATACTGTTACAGTTACAATAGCACCAGCAGTATAAACAGTTGGATTTTCATCATCAATTACTGAAATTGTAAAATAAATTATTATATTTCATTTCAAAATACAAATACACAACAAATATTACTCTAAAAAGTATTAAAGAATTTTTACCTTCAGATCGTACTTTAAATTCTATGTATGGCATACTTCCAAGAACTTTCATTACATCCTCATATTGACTGTCTGATAAATGTCTAAGAATCAGTCTTCTTTCTTCTCCTTTCAATTGTGCAAATTGTTGAAGACTTTTGATTTGATGCTAATAATAAAATCTAATCATTAAGTTTCTAATTATGACATAATAAAACATAAAGTAGATATTCTATATATAAATTTAAACATTCTAAGGAATATAATAATTAAGTAATACCTTTTTTGGTAGAAAACACTTTAAATTATCTTCAGTTATATGTGGTAACTGTAAAAGAGGATTTTTAATTTCCCAAAGGCCTTGTACTACCATTGAACATAACTTCATACAATTTTCTACTGTTTTTATAGTTGGTAAACGTGGAACTAAAGGAAAAAAATTTTCATTAAATAATACAATCATGTGTTTAAATATGTAATTGCATAATACAATACTTTTAAATATAGTTTGTATTTGAAAATATGTTACTATTAAGTTTATAAAGTATATATATGTACCTCTTCTAGCATAAGCTAATAAAATTACTCGATTAACACAAGTTACCATTTCTTGAATCAAATATGGACATTTTTTTACTATATATTGCCTATCTTTTTCTAACGTTTCTGGATTCAGTAGTATCCGAGATAAATGTGCATGAATTAAAGCTCGAGCTTTAATCGAATAAGAGTCACATAATGGTGTTTCTTTATTTTTTGCTCCTACATCTGGTAGCTGCTTAATAAGCTGAAAATAAAACGAAAATATAAAATTCCGAGTTACTCCAAGCAATAAATTTTGTTTTTTTTTTCTAATTTAGAACTTTAAAGTAAAAAATAAAAATCACGTACAATTCAATTTACTTTTAATATAAAAAAAAGAATATATTATCATAAAATGTATTTGAAAAAATAAACATTTTTTTCAATGTAATTGAAATGATAAAAGGACAATAAATGCTATAATATATATCTCACCGAATAAACTTCTTCGTTGTCTGTGTATCTTTCAACTATTTCAGCATTTCGTTTTTTATTAAATTCAAAAGAAGCAGAAAGAATCATTATAACTCTTTTTAGTGACATTGAAGGACATCTAATAAAAAAGACGTAATATATTTGAGTGGTTGCTAAAAGTACCTAGAAACCAATTATAAATTGAAGTATTACTTGATATTTAAGTCTATATATTTTTTTAATGAAAGATGTATTTACTTGATCACCAGTGTAACGAATACTCTTATACCACCATATTCCAACAGCATTTGGTAAAACAAACATGAACACTAGTGAATACAATCCCAAAACCCATACTGAATTTTCTTTTTCAACTATCCAGGAGGGTAAAGCAATTCCAAAACTCATTGCTCCTGGACCATCTGGATTTCCATACTTTTCCCAGTTTTTCCATGCTTCCTCATCCGTTAAAGCTTGATAAGCTGTTAGTAATGAAAAAATAAACAATAATGCTTATTAATAGTAACTAATTGTAAGATTAGTATTTGTACTTTCTATTTTTTTTATAATGTTTAATAATAGTGTGCAAAGTAGATAGTTGTATATGTTATTTTGATATAGTTACATTACTATGAATCAATACCTAAGCACATATTTGTTAATACATATGATAATATTCCGACCTTTAGTTAACTTCATAAAAGCTTTTTCATTTCCAGTTTCCTTATCAGGATGAAGAATTAAAGATAGTTTACGGTATGCTTTTTTAATATCACTTTGAGATGAGCCCTAGAAATAATGAGGAAATTATATATCTGGGTGCATGTATTGTCATGATGTATTAATTATACTTACAGAAGAAACTCCAAGTATTTCAAATGGATCAAAATTAGCCATTTCATAGTCAAATTGTGATACTTTATATGCCAAAAAAATTAGAAATACCCATCCAAGGATAATAAGAAATTTCCTATAAAGATACAGTAATATTTTAAAAATTTACCATTTATATTTAAACAGACACTTTATAAAATATAACTTACGTAAATAATGCTTTGGTTTCTTTCCAAGGTTCATTAAGTCGTAGAATAATTTTCTTCTTTTTGCATCCATCACATTGACATTCTTTTGCCTCTTGATCAGGATCTAATGATAAATAATAATTGCATTTAATATCAACCACAATAGTATATTACATAATAATTAAAATAAAATGTCTTGT